ACCTGTAAATGAGTGAAAACTGCAGAGTTCTGGCCATTAGATGTAGCTCGTCTGTGTTGGGACATTCTTTTGAACAGCCTTTAAAAGCCTGAATTTTGGCCTGAAACTCTCAGACTGAAGAAGTCTCTTGGAGGAGAGACGAAACGTTTCATTAGAGAAGAACCCGTCCAGAAGACCTATACAATTTTTTTTCTTTTTAAACAACCATAGAGCAACCAACCATCCAAAGACCCCAGGAAAATGTGACTAAAGGAAGTGGACCGCAGAGAAAAGGATGCTGTGCTATGAACTGGCCTCGGAAATACCAAATACAATTTGGTAAAATATTGTGGTTGCTGAGAATGCAGTCAGCAAATCCAGAACATGAACCATCTTTTAACCACCTGCACCTTAAGTCCAGTACAACATCTGCAAACCTTTGTCAGATCAACACCAGAGCAAAGACATGGCTGTCTGTTTGGTGTAGGGCGGCACAATATATCAAAAATTTATTGTCATCGCGATAATAGCCTGTGCAAAATGCACATCGCAACAACTGCATAAACTGCACTAAATGGTTGACTCAAAAATTAGCATTTATGCGTTTTGTCATTCAGATGGAACTTTGAAATATTTCACCAATCAAATAGAGTCCTTCATGTACTGTATTTGGTCAATTTTAAAAAAAATCAGGCTGGAATGGAAATGTTTATTTTTTTATGTTGTTTTTTGGACTTTGAACCCAGAGCAGAAAGATAACAACACTACATATACTTACATATTTGTTCATTTATCGCAAATCATATCGTCATCGCAGTATTAAACACTGTTATCGCACATCGCAGGTTTTCCTGATAYCGTGCAGCCCTACTATGGTGTGTCACGATATGATGATGATGATGATCCAACACTCTTTAAAACCCAGAGAAAGTGTTCATTTGTGAGCCCAGAGACAAAAAAACACAAGTTCCTATTAAACATCTTTAGGTACAGCAACACACAGGGATATAAAAGCAGACAAAAATACTGAACAGCTGTTAATGCTGAGTCATGACAACACCAATAAGAATAAAGAAAGCTCAATCTTACTTTGGCACAGGCACGGTCGCTCCTCCCTAATTTCCTTTGTGCACGTATTCATCACTAACGCCTCGTCATCGTGAGCAAACAGGTTCAGTTGGGAGCTCTGATGTAAAATTTATGAAGAACTGAGAGTAACTGATCCAAGCCTCAGTCTGAGTTGCATCAGTTGTTTAACAGAATAGAAAACAAAACAGGAACTGCACTTTTCTTAWGATGTTAATGAGCTTTCCACTTTCACAGAATTAAAGTTCACTGTGCTCTTATTAAAGATTCATAAAAGTTCAGTGTGCTCTTATTACAGATATATAAAAGTTTATTGTGCTCTTATTACAGATTTATAAGTTTATTGTGTTCTTATTACAGATTTATAAGTTTATTGTGTTCTTATTACAGATTTATAAAATATTTAATAATTAATTTATGGTCACAAAGCTGAGATCAGCACAAATCTGCAGATTCAGGTTTTATGATTGAACATTAATCCATCAGCATTTTAATGTGGATATTGTTAACAAT